AGAGAGAGAGAGAGAGAGAGAGAGAGAGAGAGAGAGAGAGAGAGAGAGAGAGAGAGAGAGAGAGAGAGAGAGAGAGAGAGAGAGAGAGAGAGAGAGAGAGAGAGAGAGAGAGAGAGAGAGAGAGAGAGAGAGAGAGAGAGAGAGAGAGAGAGAGAGAGAGAGAGAGAGAGAGAGAGAGAGAGAGAGAGAGAGAGAGAGAGAGAGAGAGAGAGAGAGAGAGAGAGAGAGAGAGAGAGAGAGAGAGAGAGAGAGAGAGAGAGAGAGAGAGAGAGAATGAGAGAATGAGAGAGAGAGAGAGAGAGAGAGAGAGAGAGAGAGAGAGAGAGAGAGAGAGAGAGAGAGAGAGAGAGAGAGAGAGAGTGTGTACAATATCCCCCACATAAACTGGAGTAGAAAGACTAATGTCTTATGAATTTCATTAACAGGTTTACGTTATAAAGTGGGCCCATTGTCGAGGGGGAAGGTGTGGTCCCTCTCTCTCTCCCTCCCTCATATGGTACACGCAGTCTAACCCTCCTGTAAATAATAAAACAGTACATTGACACGAATTTTCTGCTCACATTGAACGCGTGTAACTCCCACGATAGAAGCAGAGAGGTGGTCCTTTATGTGGTATATTTATGTGTTAGCCCCCACCCACTCCATCCTCTCCGTTATTTACAGGCAGTAGTGAATAATATTGTGTGAGAGCTATTCAGTGGAAATAATCAACTTTACAACTTTACAACGCCTCAACACTGTACTAAGTACTGAAGTTTAACTTTATCTGTTTTACATGTGTGTACCACGTGCAATTTGAAACGCCCAGTAGCATTTCCTAACTCACTAGGCTTCACCACAATGTAAATAAGGACAAAAGAACTTTTAAATGCTGTGGAGAGAGAACTTTACATCTTCTTCAAGAAGTTAAGAGGGAATGAAACGGGTCACAATGAATTTCAGTGTAAACGATTGAAATTATCATATTCTAATTCAAAGCTTATTATCATTATATAATATTTAATATATATACTATAATATAAACAACCCAAAATGTTGTATTATTACAAGCTCATTATAATCTATGTAAGGAAGGGGGTGACTGATTAATAAGGGCAAAGTAAAGTGCCACAAAAGCTGGCAGTGTTTACCAATCAGCTTTCAGCAATAAATATCAATTTAATGTGACAACCAGCAATAAAGTATCGTGATCAATCATTTTTTAAGTGATTGCGTAATATGATGTAAGTTACTCGAGTAATTATGATTTATCTATCCAACATATCAGCATTTAATTTTCACGAATGTTGTCGAAGTTTAAATTTAATTAGGATCAATCTTACTACTTTACTATATTTAAAGCGAGACGATATATATGGATATATGGATCCGTGCCATTTTACTGACACCACGGCATCAACTTTAACGCGACTTTCCGCAAAAACCGTAAAAGATATGCAACTGAAACTTTTTTGACTGGGTCAAATGCTTTAATGGCCTTCAAATCAGCATGAAAAAATAAAAAATTGGCCAAGGAATAAGAATTTAAGTGCCCAAAATTTGGACTCCCAAGTGGTGTCAAAAACGCGAATTAAATAGGTAATAATTATTTTAGTCTCTCAGTCTCTCAGTCTTGACACCACTTTAGGGTTAGACGGGTTCCTGCTAGTTACACTAACGAATTGGATTGACCATATAATTACTGGATATTGTGTAAAATGTAACCTTAGTAATAGTTTTTGCTCAGAACATTCGCAATGGTTTTTCATCGAGATAATGACAATAAGAAATGACACTTAACTGATGAAGAATAAAGGAGGCCAGTTGAACAGAAAACTCTTTATATAATTGGAGAGCTCAGAGTTAGCATTTCAGAGATTCACCATAAATGGATTTTCACTAATTGTGCGCTGTTAACACACCTTTTAAACACACCTTTTAAACACACAGGCCAAGTTTGCACTACAAAAGGGTATAACTATAAACTACACTGTGATGCTGCGATAAAGGAATTTGGGTTGTAACCACGTGTTTTAAGGCATGGTGTTCGAATCAAATGGCGTCGAACCCTGACCTGCCCTAGTTCATGTTAAAAACATAATAAATAACATAAAAAAGCTTTTAAATACATAAATATGTAGCAAGCAACTTCAGACTTACCTCCTCAAACATGGAGCCCACATTGCTGGTCAGCAGCAACACAGGCACGTTAAGCATTTCCCTTTTTACATCCTGCAACTGAGAAGATTTTTTTAGACTCACATTATTATACATTATTATACATTATGTGAATTATGTGATAAATTACATGTTATCAGACATCAAGGCTTACAAATTGTGAAAATCATTCGATCAGCAATAATAAAAATGAAATAAGCATAACATTTTAGAATTTTATATCTATTTATTTGTAGTTGTACTATTATAACCACCACATTATCTAATTTACATGCAGTAAGGTTAGTCAACAGTTTGAACCAAACTATCTTAACTTATACCAACAAAATTGTCTATAATATTACAGTTTAAAACTTTAGGTCACGTGTACGCGTTATTAAATTTTACAACTCTTTTTTAACATACTGACAGGTTCTCTGTCCAGTATTAACTACAGTATATTATAAATGTATTATTATATATACAGATAAATGTCTCTATATCAGGCTTCTCGGGGAAAACGAAATATACACAGAAGAAAAATAGTACAGTTAAGAGAGATTCCCAGCATCTGTAGCCAAATAAAATGCCAAGTAAATACCTAACCCATTGGTGTGTTGTGTTGTATTACCATGGATTACAGCTTGATAAGTACTTGCATCAACATGAAATGCAATGTGAGCTCCGTTAAATGATATGTATTGCACAAATTGGCCATACACAGACTACAGATTCTATTGGGGAATAAAATGAGCTCATTATAAATAGAGCTTCAGGGTATAGAGAGGTAAAATTACTTTATATTCAACATATTATACACTATTGCCTCCCCCATTTGGATACATAGCCAATGCATCTATACTATAATTCTGAAGATTATCTCTGTACGACCGCCCACGCGCAAATTAGGTAAACAAATATAAGTTGAATAGTATCCATGGTAACGAGGGTTATATGCGCATGAGCACGTGCAAAGATTTGCGAGCAACATTTTGATCGGTTTTGACGTAATTGCATTGTGTTTAGTGCCAACTACATTTTAATCAGCTGTATCTTTGGTTGTGACAGATATTTTTTGATGCGATAAAAACTGACTACCAAAGAATACTACTACTACTAGCTTCATCCTGTACGCAGTACAGTAAAAGCTATCTAAAATCATTTGTACAGCTAGAGCTGTTACTGGAAGTGGAAACTTCGAAAATAGGTTTTTCACCCAGTAAGGTTTCCTGGGTGAATAATGAAAATCTATTGTGAAACAAGTTAAGTCAAATTGTACTTAGGACTGTTGTACATTGCTCATGTGTAAAGTTACGTGTGTTAAATAAAAAAAGCTATCATTTAAAATGCCTATAATTAGAGGACGTCATGCATTGCTATGTGCGCCGCGCGGGTTTTCATCATTCAGGATACAAGGATACACCTAACCATGAACCATGTGCTTTAGCGCCGCTGCGCGCGCTTGTTTCACAAGTAAGGGAGGCGGGCGCGTGCCACTGCAAGCGCAAGGGCTCTGGATAGAGGAAATACAAGGATTTAAGGATACACTGATACAAAGATACAAGGATACATGGATACAAGGATACAAGGATACAAGGATACAAGGATACAAGGATACAAGGATACAAGGATACAAGGATAAAAAAGTGATAATTCCTTTATTGAGTAAAGCGCCTAAGCAGCAAAAGAGGTATAAATAAATTCTTTTAACATACTCTGTTCTGCCAATCAGTTCTGACTGTTGATATAATTATTTAAATTTGATTCTCAAAAATGATGTAAAGTTTTTAATATGACATAGAATTAAAGCTATTTCCGTACAGCCTAAGTATGCTCGTTTGAAAAACTATGAACATGCTAGCTTTCTTTATTTTGTTAGTCGTCCGACATCTTGGGTTGTACTGGACATAAAATTGATGACATAAAATTAAAGCTATTCCCGTTCACCGTTGTCTAAGTATGCTCATTTGAGAAACTATGAACATACTAGCTTTTTTATTTTGTTAGTCGTCCGACATCTTGGGTTGTACTGGACCTAACAAGTTTATTATCGGATGTCTATTTATATTTATTATGATATCATTATTCATTGTAATGGCAATAAAATTTAAATATTGTTTTACTTAAATTTTGATTTACTTAATAGTTGTAATTCATTCATGAGTTGTAATTCATGAGTACTCATTCATGAGTAGAGTAAATTGTTGCTATGCAGGGCTACGACCTTGGACCTGGAAAATTTGGCATCGTCATTCGTCAATCGATGCCTATAACGTTTAAAATATTGGTTGTTTTGAAATAAAGTTTAGTTTGTTTGGCGGCCAGCTACAAACTTTAAATATTAAAATTGCAATAGTTGGAGGGTCAATTTTTCCCGATACGAAGTGACGCAAAAATAATTGATAATATAATTCAATAACATTGCTCATACAGAAAAGTTTTTTGGTCCCATTATATATTAACAGTTAACGTTTTTTGGTAATTGGTATAAAGGTCGTGCTAATTTAAAAAAAAAGAAAAAAAGGGGGGACCCCCAACCCATGTAGCTGAGACACCTCACAGCAAGTAGACCAAGTAGACTTTCCCCATCCCAAAGCTACCTAGCTATGCATTCTGATGATGAATCCACGATTCTTGCCAACTAAAAAATTGTCACAATCTCCATTGGTGCAACTAGAACTGTGCTTTTTGAGTCCAAACAAGACAGAGACCAAGATCCTGTAAAGCTTGATGTGAAGTCTAACTCACTTTACACCATGACAAGGTCTTCACAAAATTGGTACCGCCACGGTGTGCCAAAATTATCTGATGATACCTCAACAGAGGAGAGATTTTCGATCACCTTCAGATCTCTCAGCCAGTCTCGACGAAGCATCGTTTTAATCGGTGATTCGAATACCAAAGATGTCAACTTTGGGGATGGTACAGGTAAAGTTGGTCATTCCTTCCCTGGTAAACGAGTAAAGGCTGCCCGTGTCAAAGACATCAATCCGCACCTGTGTGCTGGATTCTCCAACGCTTTCCTTATGTGTGGCACCAACGATCTACGCTGCGAAAACGTAAAAAATGTCTCAGATATTCACGAGGCAGTGTCAACACTGAAGAATAAACTAACGGAAATACGTCAATTGTGTCCACTTACTAACATTTTTGTTGTACCTGTTTTACCATCAAGAATCCATGAAATGAATAAAAATATAATGCTCTACAACAACTTGGTACAGGAGATGATAAAGAACTGTTTTCCTAATATTTGGTTTCAGGGTATGTATGGTTTTTTAGATAACAATAAGCTATTATCTGTTAAGTTCACTAGGGGTAACGACATGATTCACTTAGGAAGTAGAGGTTTAGCTAAGTTTGTAAGCCACATGAAAAACTGTGTGTTTCTGAAGGAAAAGGCGTCTAGGGAGTCAGCACAGAGGGTTGGATCCACTGGTCCAACCTAACCGACACATTACTATGATCATGAAATTAATTAAGGAGGTCTGTGAGCCATGCTCAAGGCCCATCAACATTGGGCAGCCCCTACTAGAATGTGAAGCCTGTCGGACAGCTATTCATACTAAATGTTTTAAAGTAGCAGGTTTCTGCCCCACCAATGGTCTATGGGTATGTAAGGTTTGTTCACTGAACGTGATACCACGCTACAACCCCTTCTCTGGGATGATTAGTGATGGTGGTGATAAATTCTACGATGATGAAGGTGGATGTGATGACGAAACTATTCAAAAAATTTCGAATGTTCTAGACCAATGTCAGAGCTACTTGATTGAAATAAATTTTCGTGCACATACAGAATGAATGGTTAATAATTTAATATATATGTAGACCAAGGTCTGTGCACGGGATGCTTCCTGGAAGAATCCAGTTCTTTTAGCGGGGCACCCTACCTAAAGCCAAATTGAGATATAATAATCATATTCCTAAGAAATAATCAGAAATCGAATACCAATCAAATAATAAGATATATAGGAGTAGTAACCATATTTACTATGCAAAATGCCCCAACCACATAGTGTAAATTTATATAGAATTCAAATTCCATATCATCATTAAACCTCAATACCTAGTCAATATAATAGCCCAAGCAAAATTAAATAACTTCTTATATACCTTACTGTCATACTACAAATTAATTAAACATTTGAAATCTGTTGACCAGAGAATAAATTCTAAGCCTAATGCAAGTGAAACAATTTAGATGCAATAATGAATGCCTAATGTGAGTATCATTTGTCAATGTCCTTGTAAAAAAGTCTGTACAAGAGATATGAGTAACTAATATAGAAGAAAAAACAGGAAGTTGTCGTCTGTTGTAAAATAAATAAAATATCTAGAATATAAATTAGAATATAAAATAACATTCAGTCAATGTGTCGTCAATAAACTGTACAATTATCAAATGTTAAAACTGGGTGATACAGTCACCAAAAATAAATAGTTAAGTTAATAAATTAAATGTGGTCTATAAAACTACCACTAAGTATAATAGGTCAATAAATTAAAAGTGGTTTATAAAACTACCACTGTGGGAACCCCACAGCTGATCTTAATAGGGTAGTCAAGGAGCTTCAAAACTCATGTAACCTTTCATCCACACACTCAAAATTCACATCCTACTTTGTCAACTTAGATGGTAACAAAACCAACTTCGATTGTCTTAACGTTGAACTCAAACGAATTGAACTAAATTTCTCTGTAATTGGTATCGCTGAAACAAACACAGATGAACCTCTTAAAGAACTATACAGAATACCGCAATACAACAGTTTTTATCAGGTCACTCAGGAAAACAAGCTGAAAGGGACTGGTGTTGCCCTCTATGTAGCAAATCACCTTAATGCAGAAGTCATAGAAAATTTTGGCTACTGCACGCCTGATAGTGAATCAATCTTTGTTAAGATCACTCAATCATCCAGCAAGCTCACACTCATCTCAGGGGTCATCTATCGCCCTCCAAATGGTGACATTCATAATTTCCTTAAGTCATTTGATCACATATGTAAACTCCTCCCTAAATCTGGTGTACGTATAATGGGGGACTTTAATGTTGACCTTCTTAAAGTGAATGGTGACGC